CGAGGCCGACGCGCCGGCCGACGCGCCGGCGGACGCGGCCGCGGCCGCGGCCGACCCGAAGCCGGCGCCGGCGGCCTTCGACGAGGGCCGCAAGGCGTCGCGCGACGCGCTCTCCGTCGCCGACGTCGCGCTCCAGGCGCGGTGCCGCGCGGCGACGCACCTCGCGCGGCGCGTCGGCGGCGACATGGCCAAGCGCGGCCGCGGCCGGTGCTGCTTCGTCGTCGGCCTCGAGGACGACAAGTGGCGCGACTTCGACGAGCCGCCCGAGGCCTTCGACTCGACGGGCGCCGCCATCCGCGCGTCCGACGCCTTCACGGAGTCCCTCGCGAAGGACCTCCGGCGGTCGCTCGCCAAGTTCGGCGTGGGCGTCACGCTCGCGCGCCGGCGCGAGCGGCCGCCGCCCCTCGCCTGGCTCCGGGCCAAGCGGAAGCAGGAGCCCGACGACGTCGCCGCCGACGGCGACCGCCTCGTCGCCGCCATCCTCCGCGGCGACGCCCACGTGTCCCTCCACGCCGAGCCCACGTGGCACGACCTCGACTGAAGCGCGTAACCGAAGCTTAGACGCCTAGGATAGTAGGAATGCCGCGGGCCGCGACGTGGTTTCCCAGCCAATTCCCCATGAACGCCGCGACGAGGCTCGCCATCTCGGGCGGGAGCACGGCGCCGACGCACTTGTGGACGATGGCCGCGCGGCGCTCCGCGAGCATCCGCGCGGCTATCGCCCGGGCCTTGGAGCCCCTGTTGGACGAGTCGGACCCGGCGCGCCAGCAGTCATGGAGCGTAGCGCCAGGGCTCCAGAAGATCCCGGTCCGCGCGAGCTTCACGAGCGCCACGACACCACCTTCGGCCAGCGCGATCGCAACCTGATTTTCGTCGTTGTCGCGCGCGAGGTCGTACAGCGCCTTGACGGCCGGATGCGCAAACCGCAAGGACTCCCACGCAGGCAGCTCGGCGTCCCAGGCGGTGTTTCCGGTGTTTTCTCCCGCGAGCTCGACGAGGCGCGGAATGTCGCCAGCCGCTCGAATCGCATTTTGAATCTGCGTGCAGTTCCGGCCATGACTCATCAGGAGGAAGAACAACGCCCCTCCGGCGTTCTCCAAGTCGCTACCGCCGCTCCGCATAAGTTCGACGAGCAGCTCGATGTAACCGGCCCGCACCAGTTGAAGCCCGCTGTCCGACGCGAGCCCCATCAGCGCAAGCGCGGCCCGCTCCTTCATGTACGCACTGCCGCTCCGCGCGACGTCCACGAGGGGCGGGACGGCGCCGGCCTCCACGAGGACGGAATTGTTCGGATTTCGTCCTCTGGACGCGAAAAACGCAAGCTCGGCTGCGGCTCGTGCCTTCTGCGTGTCGTTCCCGCTGCGCAAGGCGCGCACGTGATCATCGATGACACTCTTCGAAGGAACGGCGATGTCGTCGTCGCGCTGCTTCCACTTCTTGGCGACGGAGTCCCACGCGAACACGCGCGCGCGGCCCGCGAAGGGGGGGATAGCCCCCGGTTCTTGGGCCATCGACTTCTCGACTCGAGTCTCTGAAAGGGCAGCACCATCATCAACACTTGAGCTCATCCAGGAAGCTTTGACCCACCGAACCACTTGCCACTGCGATGCGGCCAGCCATGCGGTTCTGCGCCACCTTGTGGATCGCTACCGGCGCCTGCGCGCTGCGCGCGACGCGGCGCGGCGCCATCGACTTTGCCAAAAACAGCGCCGCCGCAGCAGCCACGGCCGGCGTCGCCGTCGCGGCCCCGCGCCGCGCCGCGGCCGCCGTGGCCGGCGCCATCGTGAGCGACGAGGTCGCCGTCACGTTCCAGGAGGCGAGCGTGGGCCTGCAGCTCGAGGCCATCGGCTTCGCCAAGGCGACGCTGGGCTCCATGCCGTCGTTCCGCGTCGCCGTCGTCGGCGCGCGGCCCGGCTCGGAGGCCGCGAAGGCCGGCGTCGAGAGCGACTGGGTCGTCGTCGCCGTCGACGGCGAGAACGTCGAGAAGGCGACGCTCCAGGACATCGCGGCGAAGCTCCAGCAGGCGCCGCGGCCGACGACGGTCGTCTTCCGCGACCCGTCGCGCTTCGCCCAAGCGCTCGAGGCCGGCTCCGGCGCGCGCGGCGCCGCGACGACCATCCTCCCGCCGTCGGGCCCGTATACGACGGCGCAGACGTTGGTCGTCGAGCGCCTCAATTCGCCCGTGGTCTGCGGCCGCGGCGCGGAGCGCGGCGACTTATTGGAGATCCGCTACGAGGGACGGCTCGCCGCGGACGGCAGGCTCTTCGACGGGTCGGCGATCACCTTCGCCGGCGGCAACCAGGTCGCGGGCCGCGGCGGCGACTCGACGGTCTACTTCGTGCTCGGCCAGCAGCCGCTCGGCCAGTTCCCCGCGGCCTGGGATCCCGCGCTCGGCGGCGCCTGCGTCGGCGAGGTCCGCCGCGTCTCCGTGCCGCCCGTGCTCGGCTTCGGCGACAAGGGCGCGCCGAAGCGGAACGTGCCGCCCTACGCCATGCTCGACTACACGCTCCAGCTCGTCAGCATCAACAGCAACGCGCAGCCGCGATGAGGGCGTAAAGCATGCTGGGGTCAGCATTGTCCGCCAACGAAAAGTTCAAGTTCAGCGAAGCTCAAGTGGCCAGCGCACGAGCAGCGTGTGGAGCTTCGGCGCGCGAAGCCGACATCAGTCCTCGTCATCTGCCATCACTCTCGTCGCCTGCCGCACGCGCAATTCGCCCGGCCAGCGCCGCACGCCTCGGCGCGCTAGGAGAGACATCATGGCTCGTAGACGCGCGCTCCTCGCCGCGCTCTCCCTGGCGTCGGCCGCCGCTCTCGCAAATAGGCCCGCTCCTCGGCGCCCACCACCGGGAGTCGACGACGACGCCATGATGCAGCAGGACGACATCCCGGTCTTCGACGCCAACGTCTACAAGCGCCAGTACTACGACCAGTTTCTGAGCGCGCGCTGGAAGCAGCGCTCAAACGTACAAACAGCCGCGACGCGCGAGACCACCTCCCCTTCCTCCGCCGTCGCCGTCGCGCCGCCGCCGTCGCCGGACTCGTGGCGCGTGCTCTTCGACGGGAGCGGCCGCTACCCGCTGCGCTACGCCCAGCGCATCGACGCGCGGCGGAGCTTCTTCGCCGCGGCGGAACGGGAGCACGGCCGCGCGGCGCTCTTCATGGCCGCGACGCTCTCGTGCATCCCGCTGGACCCGCGGCTCCTCTTCTTCTCCCAGTTCGCGCGCTGCGGCTGCCCGGCGGCCGCGGCGTCTTTCCTCCAGACGTCGCCGAACCTCGCCGTCGAGTTCCCCCTGCTCGCGGTCGCCGGGTCCTTCGCCGTCCGCGAGATCGCGCGCCTCCGGAGGCCCGAGGCGAAAGCGGTGTCCGAGGACGAGGCCATGGCGCGCGCCCGGGCGCTGGCGTCCAAGTCGGAGCTGTTCCAGGGGCGCCTGGCCATGGTCTTCGCGGCCGCGGCCGTGCTCCTCGTGGACCCGGCGACGATCTCCACGCCGCCGCTGGGCGCGCTCTGATGCGCATATGCCCGCGTGCACATGTCCCCCCTGTCGATTTTAACTCCCTGTGTAGACTAGCCGAGCGCGACGGCGGACGCGAGCGGCGCGTCGCCCGCGGCCGCGGCGATGGGCGCCTCGACGGGGTCCACCTGCGTGGAAATCAAATCTTCAACCCGACTTCAACGTGCGCGTTTTCGAATGTTTTGACACGTTCTTCGGCTGGGCTTCGAGAACTCGATGCGAGCAATCGATCCGTCCGAAACTCAGCCGAATCGACTTCGATGTGACCGAGCTAGAGAATTTCAAAGTTTGGTCGGGACGACCCAAACCAGCAGTTGATTTCCACACAGGGGTCCACGCGGCTCAGGTCCGCGAGCTCGAACAGCTGGCGCAGGGCGACGCGCGGCGACGGCGGCACCAGCGCTCCGGCGGCGTCGCGCA